ATTCAGAAAATAACTAAACCACCTTTCTCCCTGGGATCAAATAAGCATTTTCGTTACCTTGATTCTACTCAAATAAAGCATAAAGTGCAAGACGGTAACATTCATTGTAACTTTGTATCAGCGGTTCGCCCCGATTATACGAACCTCTGCGAGAGCAGCAATAACACGAAATGCTAGAATTGATTTCAGTGACGATTAGGGTATTGTTACCTTAATTTTAATCCGTCTTCGTTCAACTTTCTTTTACATTGATCCGGCTCAAATACGTCGTGGAGCATTCTCTAAAATGTATTCGAACAATCTGAAGAGAGCAAACACGACTGCAGAAAAATTCGCGCCTATATTACTGATCACGGGAGCAGCTTGGCTGGTATACGATTGTTGTTTACGATGGAAATTCTCACCAAAATTCCATTTATTGTGATCTGAAGATCTGAAAAGGGTCTTGCATAGCTTAGGAGGAAAAGAGGCGGACACAAGAGCAAGTAAGTGGAATATTAATTGAAATAAACTCGTATACGACGACATACTGATTCGCTACTTCAATTCGAGAATTCCTCCGAAGTACACAAACAAAAACGGTCATAACTTTGCAAAAACTGAAAACGTACACAGGTTATTCGCTTTTGGTATCGTGGAAGGATAGAACTCTTTGATTATGTAGTTAAAAGTTTGTAGTTAGGTGCCACTTTTGCAATTCAAGCTCGTAATTTTGCTTAATTTTCAGCGCTCGCTGAATGTGTGTTAAGTAGGGCCCACAGTATGACGAATTTCTTGCTAACGACTACTTTGATGAAATAATGATTATCACCTAGTTAAAGTAGAAAGATTTATCTACAATTTGGTATAAAAAATGTTTCTAAAACATGCGGGATACATTATATACAATGCTATGAATGTATGCTAAATTTTTGATCGGAAACAGCTTGTTGCTGACGTAAGCAGGCTAAGATCTTTATCGGCTCCTGGCGAAGCCAAAATAGATTTTTGAACCAAACTAATTTCATTTCAGACACTAACCCAGTGAGGTCTTTCAATAGCCAGAGTTAGAGAAAAAATAATTTTTCAAAAAAAAATCAGTGGGTGGTTTTTACTGAGACAGCCTCTTAAGTATGAACGACTCAAACTTAACACTCGCTTCTAACGTCTCTAACTTCAGTTTGATAAACACGTATTGCAAGTATTTGGAATCAGACAGTGATGTTGAGAAAATTGCTAAACTCACTGCCCTTATACTTCTCGTTGTATTGGGGATTTCTTTCAACATCTTCGTCATCATACTCGCCGCTAAATACACAGTACGCAAGAATCTGCATCATTTGATCATCAACATGGCCGTCTCAGATGCTCTATTTATTTTCATGTGGTTCATAGGGCTGTATGATAATACATGGAGCATATATCCCAATGGAACACTGGGTGTCGTATTCTGTAAAACTGTAATATTTCTGATGAACACCCCATTTAAAGTATCATTAGTTACTCTATTAGCCATCAGTATTCAAAGATTCAGAGCAACAAGACAAACCTTGCAAAGAACGAGGCCATCAGCATTGAGACAGCGCATAATAATAGCTGTATCCTGGTTGTTTCCAACAATAAGCTCCGTCCTTTACGCGTACATGGCAAGGCTGTCGGGAAGAAATTGTGGGATATGGGGCGTCGATTTACAGAATAACAAAATCATTTTGATCGTTATCCTCTTTCATGCTGCTATTCTGACTATCGTCGGTTGTGCAACATTCGCTATAAGTATTCTAACATTAATCCGCCTGACCAAACCACAAAGCATCCAAAACCATCTAAGCAAAGAACAACAAAATTTAAGAGCACGTCGAATTCGAGCAGCTGTAAGAATGGTTCTCGCTTCTACATTGCTGTATGCAAGTTGCTGGGTTCCCTTCTTAGTTTTTACAGTAGCACAATTTGTCCTCGTTATCATCCCTTCATCTGATATATATAATTACTGTATTGATTGGCAATCATTAAGGTTTATTGTTGTAAGTTTTCTACCTCTGGTTAACTCCTGTTTGAGTCCTTGCATCTATGTTATACTTCTGTCTGATTTTCGGGAGGCAACGAAAAAAGTGCTTTGCCGAAGACAGACAATCAACCCGGCACCAAATAACCCCATCGAACTGCAACCGATAAATCCGGTGTCTGATAGGAGAACAGCGCGGAATAGAAGGTAGCCTCATTGACCCGCAACCTATAAATCCAGTGTTTAATAGGAATAGGAGTAGAGCGAGAAAAAGGTCCGGAAGACTCAGAGCATCAGGGCATCTCAAGGAACTGCA